AAAAAAAAAAAAAAAAAAAAACATTTTAATAACACCATCTTACAGAAATGTAACTAAATCATAGGTTACCGGTTCAGTTCTCAATAGAAGGCAGAATGAACATTTTAATCCCTTTCAGGGTTCTCTGCTGCCCTCCTCATTTCCTTGAAACTGATGAGCCCTGTTAACTGGGGCTCTGTGCTGGTGGCCTGGTTGCTGGAACACTGGGCTGGAAGACATACAAATGAGCCAGGACACAGCCAAGTTATTTTGGTTTATCCATTGCCTCATAAATATCCTTTTCAAGGATGCTGGGCTGTAAAACTATCCTGTAGATTTCCACAACAGAGTTTCCTAAGGGCATATCTGATTGCCTCTCCCAAAAAATACTCGGGGGGGGGGGGTGCACCCAATTCCATTTAGCCCAAGCACAGACTTGATAGCATATACTTGGCCAAAAATACAAATTGTCTACTAACTTAGGCTACAACTTGGGTTGCTAACTTATGTTAGTATAGGGAGAGAGGTTTTAAGGGTCCACATGGAAGGTAGCCTGGGAGAGAGCAGGGATTCCTTCTGATTCCACCTCCTGCTGATCCCAGGCGCCCTGTATCAGAACCTCCATTATAACAAGATCCCCAGGTGACTGTGATGGATAAGAATCACTTGGGGATCTAGACTCATCCCCAGGGGATCTTGTGAAACTGTAGATTCTGATTCAGTGTATTGGTGGAGAGGCACATTTTCAGCAGGAGGTCAAACCAGAGTAAACTGGTTGGAAGTCCTGGGAGGGAGCTCTTGGTGTTGGTGGTGTCCCGGCTGGAGAAGGAGGGAAGGGAAGAGCGTCAGGTTTTATAGTAACTCACCTGTCTTTAACGTTCGTGAAAGGGTTAAGTCTGCCTGTTGGTGTTTGTTCCGCTCTGTTGAATCTCCACTCCTGGATCCAGGGTGTTAGATGATCAGAATCTTGGCATGACCTTAATGGGCCCTTTAGGTTTTACCTGGAAAAATGTCAAGGAAAGAGTCGCTGCAATTTTACAAGCACACGTTTTCTTACAAAACAGTTTTACCCTGCCTAGTAAACATGCTTTAGAAATAACCACTGAGTCATCTGCCTCCTGGCCCCAGTTAATTTTTCTCTGGAATGTGCTGTTGAGCTCCAGAAGTAGAATACCAAGACTCTTTCAATGCAGTCCCAGATCACATGGTGGTGTTTTGATTGGGCTTTCTAAAAATTCAAGGCCCTATGGGCCGACTGGGACCTTCTTTGCCAAGGCACATGGATGGTAGTGAACAAAAGAGATGGGGTGTGAACCAGGAGAAGTTGTTTGAGGAGAGGAGAATTACATCCTCAGCCCAATATCCGAAAAACCATACCTGTTAATCAACTGGAGGGTTGTTGTTGTTATGTGCCATCGAGACAACCTGACTCATAACGACCCCTCCTTGGGTTTCTGAGGCTGTATCACTACGGAAGTAGATTGCCCTGCCTTCCTTCCGAGGAGTGGCTGGTGGGTTTGAACGGCCAGCCTTATTAGGGTAGATGCTACCCCAAAGAGAAACAGCCCCCTGTCATAACCTCACATCAGGGTAATTCCTGATGGCTGGCCTCTTGTTTCTTTCAAAGGCTTCCGGAAGCCTCGGGGAGCTCTGGTGGCATAATGCCTAAAGCATTTGGCTGCTAACAAGAAGGCTGGTGGTCCAAAGCCAGCAGCCACTTCATGGAAGGAAGACTGGGCAATCTAGTTCTGTAAAGATTTACCACCCCAGAAACCCAAAGGGGGTCGCTCTGAGTCAGAATCAACTCAATGGCAGCGAGTTTGGGTTTGGGTTTTGGTACCCTCCCCTTAGAGCTGCAGCCCCTCCCCAGTAAGGCTCTTGTCTGTAGCATCCTTAGATCCAGGGTTTCTGGGACATCACTGATCTCAGACCTTCAGGCTCATTGCCACCATAAGTCATGGAGACATCTAGTTCTTTCGACATTTCTCCATCCAGGCTACATTGCCCAGGCTGCTGCTTATAAGCAGAAGTAGCTTAGCAGTCCTTTTGTGATCCAGTCTGGAGTTTACAAATACAGTCACCACATCCTGGATTTGTGGCTCAAATCCAGTAACTGCATGTGCTTCACTCTGTAGAGAAACAAACTCTTTGTTGGCTGGCTGGGTAAATACAGCCTCAGGTGTCAGCTTCCCTGGAATCCTGACCTCTCACTCCCAGGTGATTTCCTGGTCTGGGCAGCTATGGAGTCCTGGTTATGCCTTCTGGTTGTGTGCTGCCCCATGTGCATGGAAACCTCCCAGAGAAAGGGCTCTGTGAGCTTCACCCCCATCTGCACACAGGGCCCTCCACGGAAAGAGGAAGCTGGGTGGAAAAGCTAGCAGAAGGTCGCCATGGCAGCCACACTGAGGGAGAAATTACCCAGGGTGCCTCTCTCACACATGACTAACATTCAACAACTTGAAATACCTTCGAGTTCTACATGGTAAAGATTAGTAACTAAACTAGATTCCATGATCTTTCTTTTTCGTCACCTTAGCACTGGTCCTTTATATTAGCAGACTTCAGAGTCTTAGAACTAAATTCTGTAAGAGTACGGACCCTGTGGCTGCCAGGAGTTCATTGTGCAGACTATTCAAAGCCAGTGGAAATCCAGTGCTGTTTTCCAGACCCTCTCTTTAAATGATTTCTGTACAAGTATCATTAACTTACGTTATCTAGAAAAATGAATGTGTAAATGACTTGACTGAACTGATGAGGACACAAATGTTCACTATTCAATAATAACAATTTCTTACATAAACAGCCATCAGTGGCCTATGTGCACACCACGCCAGGCCTCCCTTCAGGCTGGGAAGAAAGGAAAGATGCTAAGGGACGTACATACTATGTCAATCATAACAATCGAACTACCACGTGGACACGTCCTATCATGCAGGTATGAAGATTGTCCTCCAACCTGAAACTGCAGGCAGTAGCAGCCGTCATGTCCACGGCCCATCTCCACGCTGCTCATGTTTATGTTTTGTTCTGAATCACCACGTTGTCCTTTTATTTTAAATAAATAAAAACAAATTTCACAAGGCAAATGCATTACTTTAAGCATAGTATTTGCCCGAGGAAGAATGCAGCCCCAAATCAGTCTCTCCCTGGGTACGTTCTGAAAAGGTGACAGGAAAGATGTTTTCCAGGTGCCAGCCTAGTATAGTGCGTAATTCCTCCCACTGCCCCTTTTCCGAGGCTAATTTTCAGGCTGGCCCGTGATTCATGTTTATTTCCCTGGAATGTGTTTCCCCATCCTTTCCCCCATTATTATGTTGGTTTCCTCCCCGCTTTAAATAGGCCAGACCTCTTATTATTGCTCTTTGTGTTGTTTGGGTTCGCACTCCTAATCGCACACACAGGGAGATCCTCATACGAAGCTAACTTGTTTTTGCCTCCAAAATAGCTTGCAGAAGATGGCGCGTCTGGATCGACTACGAACAGTAACAACCACCTAATCATCGAGCCTCAGATCCGGCGGCCCCGTAGCCTCAGTTCGCCAACAGTAACTTTATCTGCCCCGCTGGAGGTGAGAAGGCTCTCTCATCTAACCGGGCTCCCTCCATCCTGTGCCTTCTCCTCATCCTCTCCTCTAATGTGGACTTCCGTTTACAGCCTTCTGCTCTCCACGATCACTTGTTGAGTCCGTGGTGAGAGGTGATCTGCGAGGCTTCCCGACACGCTTCTCTGTCCGCCCATTCACATGCCTGGACTCTTCTCACCTGACTCTATCGCTCATCTGACTAGGGCCATGCCTTCTTTTTTCGGAACTTTCACCATCCTTGTGTTTCACTCTTTATTGCCTCATTAGAGCTGTGTAACAAGTCTTTCCAATATCAGTGCTTATACTGAGTTTCAAAACATAGCTGTTGCTTCAGTCATCTTTTTTGTTTGTTTGTTTGTTTCTTTCGACTGGAGGGTGTTCCATCATGTCTTTGATGCAGATTTGTTTCTCCAAATCACGGCTGGGCACTGCTTCTGTTCTCTTTCCTGTACGTGTGGTTTTCGTACTGTTCCTTAGCGTCGTGGGTGTCAGCTAGAGAAGCCAAGCATAAACTTTTGAAGTTCTAAAGTTGGCTGTGGATAAGAGACAGCTGTGGGCTTCTCCATGGCCTGGGTTTAAGATGCTGAAGAGTGGAAATTGGTAATACCTCTTCCAAACTGTGCTGTAAATGTCATGTGTCATAACTGTGCGATTGCAGGCTGTTGTCCCATGGATCAGGGTCTTGCTCTTTGTGTTCTGGAAAGTGCCAATTCCTTCTGCATTAGACTGTGAGCTCACTAAGAGCAGGAGCAAGTTTTTCTCCACTCTCTGGGATGTCTGCGTTCATAATGCTTCGTAGGGAAGAGTATGTTTAATGCCTACTGAGTATCTGTCAGAAGGTGGTGGTTGAAAGTATTGAATATTATTGTGTGTTTAACTAATTGAAAAAATTTAAAGTCAGGTTGATTTACAAGTAAACGAGTGACAGGACTTTTAGGCGCTCCCCCTTTTACCATCTCCAAAGAGGAGCGCCCCGCGATGCCCAGGGACATTGTGACTCACCTGGAATAGCACATGACAAGATTTCTAACACTGGTTGTTGTTCCTTAGGGTGCCAAGGATTCACCCATACGTCGGGCTGTGAAAGATACTCTTTCCAATCCACAGTCCCCACAGCCATCACCTTACAACTCCCCCAAACCACAACACAAAGTCACACAGAGCTTCCTGCCACCTGGCTGGGAAATGAGGATAGCTCCAAACGGCCGGCCCTTCTTCATTGACCACAACACAAAGACGACAACCTGGGTAAGGCTGCTGTTGGCGCTGGGGGCCGTTTCCATCGTGAGCTCTGACGTCCCTGCCTTTATTCCTCCTCACTCAGTGTTCATCGTTCTGGTGGAGAGACTTCACTGGCTCTGGAGCCTATCTCCACAGACTCTGCTCAGCCTGACGCTGGCTTCTGTACTTAGGGGCTCGGGGAGTGTGTGATGTATGGGCAGAGGCTGATAGCGGTCACTGGTGTCCCACTGCCTTTTCTTCATAGCGCTCCCAGGACATGCTAGTTTGGACAAGTGGCCGCATTTGGGAATAAGTGATACTCTGTATTGCTAGGATTATTTTTTTAAAAACCTTCTTGAGCTTTATTTAAATAATCATTTTCCACGGTTCCACATGTTTATGACAAAAATGCTGTAAGGAGGACCGCAGACACTCTGTAGTCCCTTCCACAAGCCTCTGTGTCACCTTTCCACATTCCTGTGTCTGTGGGCCTTCTGCTCTCGTTGTGGTTGAATGTAGGTTGTTTGCTTTGTTTATTGTTCTGAAAACATAGTCCAACACTCTTCACTTACACAATTCACCAAGAGCAGTGGTATCTGTTGTGTTGTATAGCCATCCCCAATGTCCTTTGCCACATTTTTGTGTTCCTGCCTAACCTCTCCTGATGTGTGTAATTTTATTGGAAAGTACAATCTTAGACCATCTTGTTCTCTGTCACTCTCTCTGTGTCTGTGCGTTTTCCCTCCCTTCATTGGCTTCGTCCCTCGTTTGACTGCTCTCATCAGGCCAGTGGCTAGTACATTTCTGCTCCATTTTCATCCCTGTCATTGTCGGCTGGGAGATGCCCTGAATGACTGGGCCTTTCTCTTTGCTTATGAATTTGATCACTCTTTTGTGTGAACATCTTGTCAAAATTGATCTTTCGTGCCCCATTGCTCTTTCACATGGCCCTGAATCATACGTGAGCCAGTACTGCGTGTTGCGTCAACTTGGGCAGGTAGAGTTCAATCCAAGGGAATTATGCATCATCCCTATACTCCTCTCTCACTTCTTCTCTTTAGCTGAATCAGTAGCAGTTCTTATCATGTTACCTGTGATTCTTTGAAAACTCAGTTGGTATTTTTCAACTTTGTGATCTCTAGTCTTTTCATTAAACTGAAGTTGTTTCTCTTGCTGGGTTCTGGAGCTGCAGAAGGTATATTTTCCTTCCTGCCTATTAAATCTCCATCTCATAGTTGGTATACAGAGTTTAACTTAGTCCTCCTATCAACTTTGCTCTTCACTTATGACCAACACTAAGGAAAAGATGGTTGGATTTGGTCTTGGATCAAAAGTGAACACATGCTTAAATTCCCATGTCTAGTCATGGATACCTCATGGGTCCAGGTAGTTGTAATTAAAGCAGCCGATTAGGCCAAGAATGACCTAGACTGTCATTGACACTTTGTCTATGGTCCCTTGTGAATTGGACTGAATGGTGTAGAGTGCTTTCTGTC